TATACCCTAAATGATGCAATTCCTCCAACTGTGCTTCAGAGGGACTGAAGAATTTGCAGACTGGCAGCTTTTACCATGGAATCCTTGAAAAAAAAATGATTTAATTGAGTAAGTGTGTGCACACAGCACTGTAATTTGACTTTCACTGTACAGGCTGGGTAAGCTCTTGCCAGAAAGTATCAGCTGTCAGTGAGTATTGTTAGAACAACTCTAGTCAGGAATGGAGATAAAAATGCAGCTTTGAAATGGTTTGGGGAGCAAGGCAAAGAAAGTTTCCTACTGAGTGTAACAGACTAAATAGAACATCAGTTAAAAGGTGCAATTACAGGTTATTGAAGAGACATGTGCTGTTGACCTTACTATGATTTTTTCCCCAGTATTCCATCTTTGCTGGCTTTGGCCCAAAAGTGCTCCCAGGCTCTGACACACAGATCTCCTCCTCCCTTCATGCTTTATGGTGGTTTTTGATGGGATCAAACCAGCCCCAATAAACCATAGGTGACTTCAGGGAAGCTGAGTGAGCTCAGCATTTGGGAAATCAAACAGCTATTTACTGGTTTTCGAAGTCACCTCGAGGCCATTTTCATGTGTGTGTGTCCCAGAACAGCAGGTATTCCCACGCACAGCAGCCCTGTGAAAAGGGGATTTACGTTGGGTCAATATTAAAAAAAAAAACAACAGAAAATAAAAAAGTGCTGGGAATCCTTGTTTAGCCCTGTCTCGGTATTTGCTCTGCTTCTGCTTCCTTGTATGTTAAATGAGGTCATACCAAAGAAATATGGAGAAATTCTTTTATGTTTAAGAAAAAGGTCTGTTATTTTTCTCAGTTTAGAAGTGACTTTTTAGGATGTATTCAAATGACTATTTATAACTGCAAGACTTTTCAAAACCTACCTTCCTCTCAGCCAAATACCTCCTCCTCTGCTGAGACAGGAATATGCATTCCCAGTGCCTCGAAATGTGGGATAAAACATTTTAGCTGAACCATTTCACACAACACCTATTCTGATCTCCTGGCAGAAACCCACTCACAAAATTCTATATCGTGATAGAAAATAAAACCTAAAAGTCCAGAACCAATATGTGACAGATACGACTTCTCCAATCAGGTGGGGAGTGAGATTTCCATGGGAAAGAGTGACAGAAGGAAACATTTTTCATCTCAAAACTCACTGAGTTTAATAAGCACCAGCTGGACCTCAACATTCTGTCAGAGGAGATTTTTCTGGAGGAGCAAGTGCCATCCTGCTTTTCTCTCCCTTGCTTTGTTTTCCAACCTATTTTGCTGCAAAATTGATGCAAAAGAAATGGCAATGAACGAGGCAGGATGCAATTCCAAGCAATTACAGATCACACAATACATGAAAGGAACGAAATTTCCTGCCTTGATTGTGAGGCCCTTCGGCTGGATATGAATCTCCAATGACACCTCTGGGAGCTGCACACTAGATTATGTCAAGCATTAAGGGAAAAAAAATTAGATTCATGATGTCTGTCCAGGCTGAGTCATTTCCTCTCACTTCGCCTGCAGTGAGAAATTGGTGGTTATCATAAATCATGGACCTAAATTCTTATGAGAGAAGAATTAATTTCACTAATGGAAGCCCTCTGTGGCAATAGCATTCCTCCAGTCTCTCTCTTTTTGGGGTGGGGAGCTGTATCTATGATGTATTTTAAGTAGAGATACTTGATTATATTTTAAGAATTCTACAAAAGAAGACTTGAAAGGAAACTTAAAATGATTATGGGGTAAAAAAATCCTGTGTGTGACCAACTTCTAATTTCTGAGGGTGGTTCTCAGTCTGGTTCCTACCACAGCTACCTTTGCCATTGATATCAAATCCAGGTACAAAATTTCAGAGTACACCAGTCAAAATCAAACATCTAAACCCTCCATCTGGTTCAAGTATGATTTCCCCCACCTGACTGGAGTTGCCAGGCTGGAAATCCAGGCTTAGAAAATTTTTTTTGTCTCTCTCTCCAGTCAGTGGAGATGAGTGGGAATGTCCAGATATTCACTTACTCAACCCAGCCTCGATGCTTTTTACTTTCAGCTGGAATGACTCACCATCCACAGGATCCCACAGGCTTCCCTGAGAGTAGGCACAACTTCAGGGCATCTGAAGTTTGATGAGGAGGATTCCACCCTAAGTGCCTACGGGATGTTTTGAAATAGAAGGACTCCTGATCCCTTCAAAAAAGCTCAGGGGAAACTTTCTGTTCCATGTAGCAGCACTGAAATATATAAACCACCCATTCCATCTAAATAATTAAACAAACAAGCAAAAATTTGTACTAAACAAGTCCTAAGCACCACCTTGAAGTCTGGAGCTGACTGGAGGTAAGTGAAAGTACTCACAACCAAGCCAATGTATTTCGTGTATTCTGCTCAGTGGAAGTCCCAGTGGGGAATTAAAGGGCTGAAATGTTTTGCAAACCGGCAGGAACGAGGACAGAACTGCTACTGCATTTTTCAAAACACGACTGATGAGATATGAGGCCATATCTTGGCAAATCATGCACTGCCACAGAGCTCCCCGATCAAAGTCCCACTTTATCAAGACGTCAGTGTCAGCTGTGGGACCATGAAATGCTTCTCCTCCCACTGACCACATTTTTACAGACTCCAAAATGCTCTAAGTTTCCTTAATGCAGTGCAAGTACATTTGAGCCCAGCTGACTTTATGGGTAGAATACATTAAAAGCCCCTGAAATACTTTGAAGAGCTGTAGCTGAGCTACTTCTGAAACTACAGCGGGGAAAGATATTCTGAGGGAAAAACTGAGTGAAAAATCCCTCCTGTGTATATTTTAGACACTCAGCTGCTAAGAAAGGACTGTCAGACAAAAGACTCCTTTCTCCTGATAAAATGACAGCCTCGATAAACAAACATCTGAGGCTCTACAGCACAGGTCCAGCTTTGTCTCACAGAAAATGGAAAGCTCAGTGGAAGAGGAGGAAAGATAAAGAAGGTTATAAGAGAACTCTTGCAGTTGGGATTTGAAAGGCTTTCAGTCCCAGTGTTTTCAGTAGTTTTGGGGTCTGGTCCAGCTTCCCACAGTCTTATTCCCAGCTGCTCTTCATGAATCAGCAGCCTTGAGCAGGCTTAGCTTTCACTGAGTGATGTCTACTTTCCCCATAGATCTGAAACGCTCTTGATAAAAGATCTGGGAAAAAGCAGCAGGGCTATTCATACTAACTCTTCACACATCCAGTGTCAGAATTCCTATGGTGCTCCCTACAGCTTCACATCCCACCAAACCACAGAGCATATCTGATGGAAAGGTCCCTGCTCCCATGTGGTTGATCTCAGTGAAGTCTGGTCAGGTTGGTACTTTACAGCAAAGTGCTCCAAGTTCTTTCAGCCCTGCTACAGTGGAAGTGAAAAACGTGGACCATTCTAAAGGAACCGAACCAAACGTGTTTTAAGATCATCTTTCAGAAAAAGCAAAATAAAACCAAACCTAAGAAACTAAGAAAAGGGTGATAAATCCTCCCAAAGCAAGGAGTTCTTGTCACTAGGTCAGAGCTGCTGATTTTGCAAAGGCTCCAAGAAGCTGGTTCTGGGTCTGCCCAAACCACTTGCACAAGTAGCTGTTTGCTCACAGGATACAAACACCCCATTATTTTTGTTGTCCCAGTCAGTGGCACAAGCCAAAGTCCATCCACATAAATGAACTGCAGGGTTAACTTACAAACACAAATCCTGGAGGTATTTAAAAGGCGTCAAACTCACAATTTGGGCTGTCCTTAGTTCCAAATGCACCCAATTTACTGCTCAGGAGCAGCTTTGCTTGTATGCAAACATTTATTATGAGAACTCTCTGAACTTAAATTAGTCGAGGATGTGGACACAGTGTTTCCATGCTCTATTACCTTTCAATTATTTTTATAGGAGTTTTATGAGACATTATGCAACATTTTGAAGCAGCTCTTTTGAGCATAATTTAGTGACAAACACACCTGTAAGTTATGGCTACAATGCACCCTTGCTGTTAGCTGTAGCATCAATTATCTTGCTTTATGCATCATAAAATCGCCCCCCACAAGACATAATTAACATAATTAGGTCCTATCACCATAATTATACATACCTAGAATATTAACTAACATTTTCTTCGTGGATACAAATTCCACATCTCAATCCATGTGCCTTTCACACATTTTCTGCAACAAATTAGGCATTTCTGACGGGACAGCTTTTGTCTTTCAGCAAAAGATGGCACCAAGAAAAAAAAAAAATCCCCCATTTGAATTCCTGTTTTTGCTGCACAACAACCTCCATTAGCAGTACAGGCTGGTACATTCTAAAAAGACACTCAATCCTGTAACACTATCTTTGTTGTCAAAGCATGTCAAGCGGTGCAATGACTACAGGACCGGCTCTCCTTTCACCCTCCTACCTTTCAGACATGTCTCGCTGGTGCACGAAATCCTCACATCTTGCATAAGGCTATTTGTCTACAGCCAAAGCTTATCTTCCCATCTCTGCCCCTGCATAGGGAGGGAGATCTCCAGCCTCTGGAGAGGGGTAACCTGCAAGGATCCTGGCCCGGGCTGGATGGATTCACTGTCTCCAAGGAAACGCTGTCACCTCGCAACGCAGTCACGTTAGGAGCTATTGTTACCAATCTCTTAAGTACATCAAACAAATTCCTGGGCTGATGGAGCTGGTATCAATGAACTGTCTTTCCAGAAGGTGCCTAAAGATAGGTTGGTGATACCTGTAGCAAGATACGTGATCATCCGGGAGAATCTCTGGTCTGCTCACTCCGGCGGCTTCACTTTCCTGAATCGCTTTCACAGTTTTGCCCACTTGAAGTTAATATTCTCTTTGCCTAAAAGACTTCCTGCTTCATTAATGGCTTGTTAAATGCCTTATTAATTTATCAAAGAACTTTGGATGAAAAGAAACTACTTAAAGAGCCTCGTGTTTTATGTAACGTTCATGAAAGTTCTTCATGGGCACCTCTTCAATCTGTTGAGGGTTCTTGCCTTGTTTGAACCTGCTCAGCCATTTTAGAAACAACCTTCCAGGCTTCTTTCTTCGAGTTTGCAGCTGAGAACGAAAACAAGAGACTCTTCTCTTGGTGGGAACCAACAGGTCAGTTTTGTGTCTGTTTTTATGTTGTATTTTTCTTAAAACATCGAAGATGTAGGTTCTGAGAGCCAGTCCGGTGAAGCTATTCCCTTGAAAACATGTTTGGTGTGATGTTTGTTTGGCTCACCCAGACAAAGTGCAGATGCTGGCAGGGTGCCACTGATGGAACTGCAGCCCAGTGTTGTTCTGGGCACTGGTTAGCTCCTGCTGAAGTTTACAGATGGCTTTTAAACTCCAGCAGCTGTTACGGGAACCAGGTTTCGGTGTAAGGTTATAATGGAGCACTCAATCACGCCCTATTGATCGGCATCTCCCACACCACGGGCACAGCTCCTGCCTCACTTGAGCTCCTGGGCTCAGCACTGAAAGAAGAGGGATAAATAAGTTAAAATCAATGTGGAAAAAAGTACACAATCCGCTCTGCCCGGGGATATTCATCTGGAAATACCATATAGTCAAACCCTCGGTGGTTCTGACTTCCTGCTTTTCAATTTCTTCACAAAAGAATTATTCCTTATTCTCCCTTTCCCTCATAATTCCCTTTCCTTTTCTTGGTTGTTACAAAGGCTGATCAATAAAAGATTTTTCTGTGCAGAAAGGCGTGTGCTTTCCCCAACAGTGACTGGAGGCTCCAAAACATTCCCTCAGAAATTCTGCTGGCAAACTTCGCTGCGCCAGTAAAGTAGAGGAGAATAATGGTTATTAGAAACTTTCAGCTCCTGTGCAAAGGTATTTTGTGGTTCCAAATGTTGAATTGACAGATGGTTATATGAAATTTAACAAAGTAGTCATTCCACACAGGTTTCATTAAAATTTTATGTGGTAAGAGCTGAGTTTATTACAGGGTGGGCAGAGAATGGAGTATTAGGGATTCATCAGGTCACTTGAATGTATCCTTTCTCTGCCTGCTAAGAATAAAAAAATTAATATCTAAATCAAACAAGACTGTAATTTGGGGCCTTTCTACTTACCATTTTTCCTCTCTGTACAAAATGAAAGGTATTGGTCCTCATCAGGGCTTAATGGGCTTCAGATCTTCTGTGGCAAATGCAATCCTCATAAAGCCCATGAAAAATTATCTCTGTGCTATTGCAGAGAAATGACATATTTTACATGGTGGCGGCCTTTCCATTATAAACACTATTTTTCAGATCTTTACAACCTGCCCATAAAAATGTGCTTCTGACAAGAAATGCAGCAGCATGCCCCAACTCTGCAAGAAGGACTTTTTTTCCCACTTTATCCAATTTTGACCAATAATTTTGCCTCTGAAATGGCTGAGCAGGCCAAATGCAGGGTGGGCATCAGTCTCAACCACGTGTCTCTCACATCTACATTTGATCAGATGCTGCCCTGGATGTCCTGCAGGTGCATGAAATATGTATGAACTGGCCAGAATAGGGCTCATCCTGAGGTCTGACTAATGACAGGAACAATTCCAATTATTCTGACTGCTGTAGGCCACAAGAGGCCCTGTTGTTCTGGGCACCACAGAATGCCAGGAAAACAGAGTTTGCTCCAGAGAGTTTGTGCTTTAATTGAACAGAGCAGACAGACAAAGAGTAGGAAGAAAGGAAATAATATTATCCTGCCTCCTTTTATACAGAAATAACTGAAATGCTCAGACCATGAAACGCTGGCACTGTGGCAATAGCCAGCAAAAATTCTGTTCCTGTGACCAGGGTCAGCATTCCCACAGCATTCACAGAGCCTGGCTTGGTTAAGATCAGACTAGATGAACAGTCTGGCTTTAAAGTCTGCATTTGAACAGCTGACTTTCTCTGAGCTGACATTTCGTTAATCATCATTAAGGAACACTTAAAAATCACTTCTGGATGATAACATTTTACTGAATTGGAGATGCAGCAGCTTGTAAAGATTAGTTTGTTGGTGCAATTTCGTGTTCTTTACGTAAAATACTTAATTTACTTAGGTGATATCAAGCCATTAAGTAAAATCAGATCTAAAAGTTTAATAACATTTTAGCAGCAGCAGAAAGTGAATTTCTCTGTTGATCTTACCTGCTTTGACCATATCCAGGAATCCGTGGTACTGGAGTTGGATCAACCAGTTAGAGAGAGAATTTCTTTGACTATTTCTTTAGTATGATCTGCATGGGCAGTCACAGGAAGCACTGGAAAAGGAACACACTATTAAATGCACAGATGCTCATCTGTGCCTGGGCAGAGAAGCAGGCACAACTTGCACCAACCAACTGGACATTTTGCTGAGTTATCCAGGCAACACATTTCTTTCTGTCCTGCCCGTTCAGGATTCCACTCAACTATTCGACTCCCTCTGGCAGGACTTGGAGAGCATTCCCAGGGAAAAGCCAAGTACAACAGGACAAAGCCTTGGAGGGAAGGAGAGCAGAGTTAGTGAAACTTTTCATCAGGGTCACCAGACAAAAAGGAATCAACAACAAGGCGCATAAATTATTGAAGTGAAAACTATATATGTCTGGTTTTGTAAGGTGTTACAAACCCAGGGATTCCAAGAGGGTTGGAGGGGCTGTAACCAAGCAACAAGTACTGAAATTTGGTTCTCTCTTCTGGAAAAACAGCAGGCTTGCAAGTCATAGTGACAGTGTCTGGCACTAAAAACTGAGCCTGTCCTTGATTTTGTAGTCTTTGGATCAAGCCATAAGAAGAGATGTTTATGGAACGGGGAATGGAATTTTTATTTGGTTTAGGAGACTTATTTCAGTATCAAATCAGAATTTTCTAACCAAATGTAGGTTAATAATTTCTGGATGAGTTGGATTTTATCTGACACTACAGAAAGATCACTTACAAGTAACGTTTTAAGATTTTTTTTTAAAGTTTCTTTTCAAAAAAATATTGGCCTTAACTTTCCTTTTCTTGCATTTGGCAACTTGAAAGAGAAAACCTAATCATACCCCAAGTGCAGTGGGTGGCAGGCAGCACCCCTGTGGATTGACAAGCAATAATGATTTCTCCCATTCTATACCTCACTGAGATTTATTTTCCCTTTTACCTTAGAACATGGCTTGTTATATTGAATGAATTTATTGCATCCTAATGCACAGATGCACATGAGGTCATGCTTAACCTTGTACCCTCACAAGTAATGCCACTGAATTCAGCTGGAGCAGAATCCAACCTGTATGTGCACATGGAAGAATCCCAAAGGTACCTGCCAGGTATCTGCCAGACTTCTCACAAGAGATTGAACTGAGTGTTCCTTCACCCAAGTCATGCTTTAGAACTCACTGAAAGTGATGGACAAAGTCCCCTCCATTTTAATGAGTTTGCTGTCAGTCTCCACTTGTCCAGGTGCCATTTCTGTCTAAGCCCCAAAATTTAAAACACTTCATCCAAAGCTGCCAAAACAAACAAGATCAGGCATTTGATGGAGAACTCTGGTATGAGGTCAGCCTCATTTCCTCCATCCACATCCTTATTATGAATCTCATGTTTCATCTTAATTGTTAGCAATTCCCAATGGAATACAACATTCATTAAGTACTTCCTAATTTATCAAACATAGGTTTCATCAGGTAATTTTAATCATATGAAAATCATTCTGAATTCATTTTGATGTACAATTTCCTGTTGAAACCTCGTGAGCCTCCTTTCCCCCTGTGTTGTTGGAAGCAACATCTCTGGTTATTCTCTTCTTTAACTTCCATCATTGCAGATGCCACAATATTTCCACAATTTTTTGCATTTATTTATGAAACTGCTGCCAACTGCTGAAGAGTTATGTCTCCTCTTTTTGTGGAGAATTGATGACCTGAATTACATTGGAAAAATTGTTTCACTTCATCCATCAAAACCCTCCCTTCCCGAAACTCAGATCTTGCAAATATGGGAATACTTGGGAGTCACCAGAGCACTTCTTTATTAAAGTGGCTTTACCAAGTTGTCATATGTCAGATAATTGAGAGAAATAAGCATAATCTCTTTAAGTATGGAACAGGAAAACTACTCCATTGCTGGGCCAAGGTGGTAAAAATGACCCAGCTCTAAATAAGCTAAGAAAGGAGGGAAAGAGCAGGAAAACACGGAAAAGCAATGCAGCTGAACAATAAACATAATTCAGTTGTTTAAAATTCAGAGATGCCTGTCCCCATTCCAATCAAAGAAGGAACTGAGAGCTCTGAATGTGTATTTACAGGCAGAACTCGTTCCTGACATCTCTGATTTTTTTACCCCTATTCTTTCCCCGGCTCTTATTGCCAAAAAAAATTAGGTTCGAATGAATGCCTTGTTATTCACTGTCTGCAAGGATAATAAAGATGTTCTCTGGCTGAAAGCAGAAAGCAAGGCCTCCTGTGATCATGGGGAAAAGAAGAGAGAAGCATTATGAGGAGAATCAACTGTTTTTATTAAAGGTGTTGTGTTCCTGCAGCTTTTGTCAGGAAATCCAAATAATTTGCTCCCACTTGCTTTCATTTGGAAAAAATAGCAGCCTTGTCTTACATAAAAAAAAGGAGAAAGAGCCTTGTTTCTCTCCAGTGCTTCTTTTATAGGAAGGAGACAGACACACTGTGGCTGTCCACAATTGCTGCCTGGAAAGTTAGGAACAGGCACAGCCTGCCAAGAGAAATTAAATGTAATGGAAATGTTTCTGCTCAAACTCAGAGACTGCATTTGCTGTATCACAGCCTGGGTGTTCTGAGGGCTGGAGGATGTTCTCCTTCCAGCAGTACTGGGGGCACTGAGGGATTCTTGGGACTGATTTCCCGTCGCTTTGTCCCTCAGCTGAGGGTTTGTACCTGCTGCTCAGCCTCACCAAGTGGGGATTTCTGAGCAACAGGTATTTTGTATTCACAAGGCCCAGTTACAAATATCTATTTTAAATCAGGTCTCCTGACCTCAGTAGAGGAAGGATTCTGGACTCACATATATTCAAAACACAAGAAGACCTCAAAGTATCTTCCAGTGGATTATTTGCCTTCCTCTTACTCTCCACAACACTGTCTTTCCACCCAAGTTCTGGCACTGCAGGACCCCAAAGGTGCTGGTGGGACTTCCCAGAGCCTGTGTTTGTAATTCCTGGTGTGGGCAGTGCTCCATCCATGTGTATTAGTCCTTCCTGCCACGGGATCCCTTCCAATCAGGGCCCAGGGAAGGTGATCCACTGGCTGCAAATGGAATCACTTCACCCAATGCCTCGCTCTGCTTTAGCTGCTTTCATCCAAAATCCCCTCTGAGAGACAAAGCTGGATTTCTCAGAGGATCATTCCCCACCTCACACTTTTGCTTTAACAGAGGGGAGGTGACAGAAGCAGCAGCTTTTCTTTCAGGAAAAAAAAAAAAAAGAGTGAAACCTGTACTATTGAGATCCATCCTGATCTTTGGGCTTCAAAGAGGCTCTAAGTCCAGTGCTGGCCTACAGGGGCTATAAAGGTGCTGTTAAACTGCTTTATGTCACTGTATTCTCCAGCCACAGACCTGTCAGGCCCCTGAATAAAAACATTAACTATGCCATCTTTCAGCTGCTCCCCTTTGCTGCCAGCTCCATGCTGTATTTCAGCAGCAGGGAAATGAGAATTTTCTTTTCTCCTTGCCTTGCACTGGGAGAAGAAGAAAGCCCTGTTTTCAGCAGCAAACGTGCTGATGTTGCTTCTTCAGGCAAACAAAACTTACTGAAAAGCAACAAGGTGTAACTCCCTTGATTGAGGCAGAATATTTCTGCTGATACCTGTTCTTTAATGTCTTCTTTCAAACCTCATATTTTTTGCAGCTGAGTTGTGGGAGATGAGCAGCTGAGCTTCAGTGGTGTTCCTCCTCATTTTGCATGCTGCCTTCGCTGTTTTGGAGAGCTGCTGAATACAAAATGAAGCTGCAAGTGTGTGTTTGCTCTACAGCCAGCAAGGCATGAAGCAGTTCTTTCTCCAGCTGTGGAGTACAGCCAGAATGTTGCTCACAGTGTCGCTGGAGATGTGACTCAGTGTGTGACATTTAGTATTCCATTGTGTGACACCAGATGATTAATGCTCACAGCAAAACACGAGCTGGTTTAAATAAACAAAATTAAATGTATTTCTATGATTATAGAAATCATGTGCTATATCTCTGAGGGAACATCAGCTGCTGCTCCCAAATGCTTCAGATCTGTTGGCTTGTTTTTAAATGCTGTGATTGTTCACTGGATTTTCCTACTGCATAAATCCATTGGCACTTGGGCCCAACAAGGCCAGTCAGGGATTTGGCCTGGGGTTTGGGACAAAGCAGGTTGCTGCACATCAGCCTCAATCTTGTTTCATGGTCAGCAATTTACAGCATCCTATTGTTCCAACTCAGCCTTAGAGAGACATCACGAGAATATAAAAGGGCAGGAGCTCAGCCCGGTGCCAAACCAGTGGGATTCTCCCAACCCTGTCACTGGGGCACCAGACCAACTGTCCCTGCTGGTCACTCACCAGGAGGGTTGTCCTTTCCACTCCAGCAGTGCTGTTTTCTGTGCAATGAGTCGCTTGGGATGCAGCCCAATGTGTGGAGCAGAGCCCAGTTCTGAGTCTGGTGTGTGTTCTGAGATTTAGAACAGGAATAAACACTGATTTTATACTTCTCTACCAACTGTGTTGGGGAAAAACGAACCTTAACTGCCATGTCTGAGCAGGTTCAGGTAGTGTTAGAGCAGCTGAAGGCACCAGCAGCATTATTGCCACGACACACAAAAGCACAACACTGGCACAGAGACCCCTTAGTTTATTAGATTGTCTTCAGGTGTGTGTGCTCAGTGTGAACACACCTGCAAAATTAATAATCCCCAAGCTTTATTAAAAAAAAAAAAGGCTTTGTACAGAAACTCTCCAAAAAATAAGCAGGGCTTTGGAGCACTGAAGGAGATGGAAATGTAAAACACCCTTCCCACTTGAGACCCTTTTCTCTGTGGAGTCATCAGGACGCATTTCCTGGAGAAACAGCAGAGACTTTGATCTGCCTTTTTCTTGAATGCTGCTCAGATTATCATGCTTACCATGAAGGGTGCAAAATGGGCTGCCAGCTGGTTAATGGCCCTTCTGAAAAACAGCCTTCTCTGTTGCTTTTTGGGAGTCACTTGTCATGGAACTATCATAACATAATCTCTGTGCTCTCGTCGTCCATGGGAGGGAGCATATTTTCAGCAGGTGTTATCAAGGCTAAGAGAGCCTGAATTAACTTCTCTTGAAGATACTTCTTAGTGCACTGCCAATAAATCTACTAGAGAGTTGTTCTATCTGCAAAATACATGCCAAGTGATACAGAGGCAGCAGATCAGGAATGAGTTCTGCCAGCTCCTCATGTGGGGGTCGTGGCTCCTCTTCAGGGCCCTCCTGGTGAGCTTTGCCACAGCCCCTCGTGTTAAACACTGATATCTTTGATTTCCCTGAGGTTCTCTGCCTTCATCTGTCTCCTTCTATTAACTTTGTGAATCCCCTGTGCAATGGTTGGAGGCAGAGGAATTTGCTGCCATTGGTTTCAAGAGGCTGGAATTCATCATTTAACTCCAGGGACTGAGAGAGAGGAGCTTAGCCAGGCTGGTGACTGAGAAAGGGAGGGGGCAAAGAACTTTTTTTATTCCCTTGCAGGCATCCTGCACTAAAGAAAAGTCTCTAAACCAAGAGGCATAGAATGGCTTCATTATTTTGTACTGCATTATCCTATGGTTTCATGCAGCAATAGGTTAGGTTTTGCTTACTTATAAGAGCAAAATAATAACAGGATTTGTGATTCTTGTAGTACATCCACATTTAATGAGTGTCTGTGCACACACACCAAATACAACTTTACAAATTCTCCATCTTGCATGCCTATAGTCTTCACCTTTTATTTTTTTTTGTAGAAACACTGGGATTAGAAACCCATTTCATATTTTCAGGTAAGTGGCCTCAAGTAATTTTTGCAACTGGGGCAAAAATTGAGTTCTTACTAATCCCACAAAATCACAGACATGTCAGTTCCCACCCAGTTCTTTGAACTCAGGCTTCAGGGCATAGCCTGAGAGAAACCTCATGTGATCCCAAACTGGCTGCAACTAATGGCAATCCTTTTATGGTGGACTGCAAGGGGATTTGGAACAGGCTCCAGGTGACTCTGACTAAATTTAGCTTCTTCTGGTGATGCTCTTTGCTACGGGTGTTTTGGACACTGCATGATTGTTTGCTTGATTTAAACATTTAAGGTTATGGAATTAGACACCCCCTAATTTCTGCTCTGCCTATTCTGATGTATCATCAGTGAAGAGGAAGAGCTGGCAGCATCCTCAGCTTTTGTAAGGGCTTGATCCAAGGCTGTTTTACTCATGATTCCAAGCTCTCTGTCCCACACATTATGATTCAAAAGCTCAGTAATTAAGAGGTCACCTCCTCAGAACACTTTGTGGATATATATATATGTGGATATACACTGAACTTGGAATGACACTGGAAAATACATGAATTAAAATCACTCAAGGTTACCCTGTTCAGCTTGCACCCCAGGAAACTGCAGCAGGAAGACTAGTTCTGAAATATTGGGATGATTCACAAATAACTTCTCATCAAAAAACTGATGTGAACTTACAAACTGGAGAAACCCACATTTACCAAGTCTTCTGACAATGACAAAAGCCTCAAATAAACAGGCTTTTTGTGTCACACTGTTGGTGACCAGTGAGATTTGACATTGTCCAGACCATGATCCTTACAGGTTTCAGGGCAAGATGGATTTCTTGATATCTTTTATTTCTTATCACGTTCTGACATATTTTATTCACTCTGCTCAGGCGCTGCTATCACAGTCACCACCTGCAAGGATTCCAGCTTGGGTTTAAAACACAGTTCTTAACAAATACCTGTAAATAGAGCAAAAATATTAAACTATGACTGGGTCTAAACTCTTTTGGTAGTAGAATACTTGAAAGAATGGCTGAAGCTCATTTTTTTCCAAGGGCAATTCCAATCCCTTAACGAGGACACTAAAGATGTGACTTAGACACAATCCAGATTTCCTCTGTATGTTTTTCCTCCCTTCCTTAAAAGCACTTCTACACAAACACAGAACTGTTTTTCTGTAGGAATTTTCCACCAGTTTGTCCAAAAGATCACTCTTCCATAGGGAAGATGTGTGTTTATGAGAGAAAGGTAGTAAACCAACTCGTAATCAGTAGAGCACAGGTCATATCCAAATCATCATTCCTGTTGTGATTCAGTGTGGCTGAAAAATAAAAACTCAGGCAGTGGGTTAAATTCCTGAGCTGCAGGAACAATTTCAATTATTTCCTCAACCAGGTCCTGTTAGACCTAGAATTTTACAACCATTATCTGTGTCTTGGATAATATATTTATCTTTCCAACCTTTCTCCATTACCTGCCTGCCAGAGTGAGGGAATAAGCCTGATATCCTTCATTACCTCACAGCCTTGACTATTGCACTGTGCTATTGTCTATAGACTGCAATTTCGACTGCATTTTGAGTACATTACTTTTGTCTATCTTTTCATTCAGTTTGCCTACTGCCTAGAGCAACTGGTCCATGATGGGTTTCTAACTAGTGCTGTAAAATGAAAAATATTCCTGTGGGCATGGTTGTAAGGCAGTGCTTTGTAAAAAGAATGTCATATGAGGGTCCTGGAAGAGGGGGGTGACAGATACATCGTGTTAATGAGTTGCAAAGTACCAACTGTGTGCACTGAGAATGGTTCCTCATGTGTAACTTTGTTTTCCAGCCCTCATCCAGTGCCAGCTGGAAGCCAAAGAACCCCGTGAACAGTCAACAGAGGTCCCAGTGAGCAGCTGGAGTCTCCCTCCTGTCTGGACCCCTGTGACTGTGGCAGCTTGATCCAAACCCCTTGGAGACCACAGACAGTTTTACAAACTAAATTAATCTACAGTTTTTTCATCAGGTGTGCCAGTAGATGCAGAGCAGCTCACAAGGGAAGTCAACTCAGTTCTTGCTGGTATTACCTGAGTTACCAAGGTACTGTTTACCTCCTCCCTGGCACTGGGGTTTGGGGGTAACTCATCCATATCTTTCTAATCCATGTATTTCCATTTTCCAACTGCAGGGACAAAAGCAAAGATTGCCCAATTCAAGGGACAGAAACGAGCTTGTAAACACTTTTGGAGAAGGCCTTGTTGCCACTTTAAGAAAACCCTTGTAGGAATATTATTTGCCTCTGGCTCAGGGAGAGGGAACACCTGCCAGGGAATCTGCTCCTGCAGAAATTCCAGTGACACCGTGTGAGGCAGCAAGGGAGGGGGGGTGGATTTAAGAGGCACAGCAAAAGAGAACAACAAAATAATAGGAGCAGTATATCACTGACTTCAACCCCAGTTATTTCTCTCTTGTAGAAAAGAAATCATATGTCCTGTTGCAGCACTGACTCCAAAGTAACCCCAGCACGGCTCTGGGGCTGTTCATGGAGACAGGCTGGAAGAACAACCTATTTCTGTTATCCCCCACACCCCCAGCACACAATGCATCCTGCAGGCCAAAAATTGGATAAGCATTCTCCTGGGAGTGATGAACTTCATCCAGGAATCCATCATCAAAGATTCAGAGCTAAGTTTGCAACACCAAGTATTGGGGTTTGTTCTCCCAGTCCCCAAATATTAATCCCAGAACGTGGGTCTATCTATGATCCAAACTCATTGATTGTACAACATCTACATCCACCTAAGTCCCACCCAGGCTGCTCAGCTTTCCAGCACTCCCACAGGATTACTGTCAATAGGAAAGTCCTTCTTAGCTCCTTAGGATAGAGTGACATCTTGTGGTTTCTTCTTTTGTCCACCATTGACAAATAAAAATTAGCCAAAAAAGCTTTGCCTAAGTTTGGTTTTGTTTGTTTCTGGGAAAACCCCAAGATGTTCTTTGTTTGAGGAATATCATGTTCTTGATTCTCAGACACTGAAACAACAGTTTACTTTGCCACCACCAAGGCTTGTGGAAAGAGTGAAAATTAGTGCTTGGAACAGCAACAAAAACATTCTAATTCGTAGACACAAATTCTTGTTTAAATGTAGAATCTACAAAAAAATGGTGCTCAAAATCATTTACGAGTGGGATTTTATTAGTTAAATACATTATTAGTTAGATATATTAGTTAAATAAGTCAATCTCCAGCAGTAGCCCCACTACTAAAAGGATTCTTAGGGAAAATACTCTTTCCAACTGCAGCTCTGGAAGGCATTCCCACCTGGACTCCAGGTGTGCAAGGAATTATTCTTCTCATGCTTCAGCTGCAGCTGCAGCACAGAAGGATCTCAGTAATCAGTGCTACACCACAGGTCACTTACACAGCACAATTAGAAAAGTTACATTGATTTATTTTCTGATTTAGTCTCCAACACAAAATACAATTCTTCATTTTTTTTTAAGACTACACAGCTGAACTCACACATGAGCTACTGCTGACAAATTCCCCTTAACAAAAAGAGATCCAAACAAAAAGACAAAATTATTTTGCTGGTTTTGTATTGAAAAAGCAAAAGTGTCTTTGAAAGGAACATTATACAAAATCTAGAGTAAAACCCATAATGGAGTAGTATTCGTGTACCTCAATAAATTGGTAGCAATACTTAGGATATTATTCCCACTGAAAAGCAGTATTGTTTGAGAGCTGTTCTCATTGTGGTCTACAACTGACATATTTGCATAAGTTGGAAATAAATCATGTTGTTGAAAACCACATAATTCTCAATTTCTAGAAACACAAAAGGGCTGTTTTGCATCTGTAAGGACCAGGAGAGCTGCAAGTGAAATCACCAGTGTTTGCATTTCTGTTCCTGCTGGTTTTCCTATGTGCCCACTCAGGCAGTTCTCAGAATTAGATCTGGAATGTTTAATTCCACATCATTCCAGCTGTACCCCTGCTCAATCCAACTGCTGGGGAAGGCTGTGCACTCGCCTGATATCCTCTGTAAACACTCCTGCCTGCCAGCTGTCCTTCCAAAATTCCACAGCTCCAGTTCAAATCTCTCTCCAGTCCTTCCCTCTGTTGTAGGAAGCCTCTATTGTTACCAGGAACTGGTGCAAAGAAAAGGCAAAAGTGGTCAGGAAGAACTTCTAAAGGACTCAAAATAAACATTGGCTTTCTTGTGTCTTTTCCAAATTAGATGAGCACCACAAAAATTAGCCTGAAAAAAAGGTCATGGCTTAAAAATCAGGCTCTCATAAGATTAAACCCACAAGAGATCCTCATCACGTGGGGCACTTTTACAGACATGAGGGGATGTTCATAGAACTATTTTAAATATGAAGAATGAGCCCTTGTATAACCCCCATCAAAGCTCATTTTACCTGCAGGGACACTAGTTCTGTGTCTTGGTGAATTTAGCCCCTGCTCATGGTGAGCAGCACTCCCTTTTTGCCCTCCCAAGCAGAAGGTTTTCAGCTATCCAGAACTAAAATTACAATTTTTGTCTAAATTTAAATGCAAAACTTTCCCACCAAGCCTAGGCTATAATATATAAGGGTAACAAGCAACAGCAACACACTAAGGAGCCCCATTTCTGAAACAATTCAAGATGGCAGGGCCAGAAATGTGTCCAAGTGTCCTTTCTCCAGGGGAGCATAACCAGCCTCCACAGAGAATATCCATCACATCCCAGATCTGCACCAGCAGGAGAAAAGACTGAACAACGTGTCAGATTTTGGAAGTCCTCCTTGCATGAATAACTTCGTGAGCAGTATCTGTGCTGCTCTGAAGTGAACGAATGCCAGAGAAGCCCATGACTGAAGTTCAAGAACATGCATTTGTTCCCATAGAATTCCAAAGACAAAACTCCTGTTGACTGAGAAGAAGCCCACTTCTTATCCAAAGGTTTGTGCTGATGATGTGTTTCAGAGAAGCTCCTCCCTCCTTTTCCCCTGCTCTCTCTTACCTTTTTAACAACTCCTGTTCTTTTTGTACTTTGCACAACGAGGGAGGAAATAATTACATGGCTCTCTGCTGACAGTGGGTACTTCTCCTCATCTTCCAAATGGAAACACCAACTAACTCTCCTGGTGTCATTCTCCTCTCTGTCAGTTTATTCTCAAGAAAAAGAAATGAAAAGGATTGTGTTTTTCCTTTAGGCATTTATTTATGAATTTTTAGACACTTAAAATTAAGGTGTTTCAGTTTTGGTTTTTTTTTTTTTTTTGAGATAGAACATTCTAGATCCCTGAAGTGAGAGAGTGAAAAGCTCAGGTTGAAGTAGAACAACTACTCTGGGGGAGAAAAATATGTGCACACGAATGACTTTACTACTCAAGTATTTTACTTCAGTCACACACAGAGCTGTTCTGCACTGACAGGGCTCAAATATTCATGCCATCAACTTTTATTGTCATCAACACTTAGGGAGGGTCAGTGGCAGTCACATGCAGGAGCATCCAGAAAAGCAACATTTGAGAATCACGGGGGAGAGTTCACACAAAGTCTACCACAGTCAGAGAATAAAATCCACTCAGCTTCTTTTGTTCCATCCCCCCCGATCAGCCAGCAGAGCACAGGCTGTTCACTGCTCTGACAGGAACAGGATGAGAGCACATTGTCCACATGGAGCTCTTAGAAATCACCACCAAGGTTTGCCATTTGCATTATTCAGAGCTGCACATTCTGCTCCTGTCTCATTGATCAAGTCAGTCTTTGGACCGTAAAAAAAAAATTACAAATAATGGGTTTGCAGTTTTCTGCTTTACAATCCACTAGAACAAGAAACAGTTGTTGACATGTACACAACTTTATTTTAAGGACACAGCAATCACAACAACAGAAACAGAACCATTACTTTAACACTGTAAGCTTCCCTCTGGGAACTGACTTGCACGCAGTTAGATCCGAAAGCGTTTGAAACAATATCTTGGGGGGGAAACACAGCAAACCTTAAATATATTAACTTCAAACTTTATGTGCTTATCTCCTCTTTTTGGTGGCTGGTGGCAGTTAAAGCTTTTCAAAGTCATGGCCACTTGTGTTCATTGCTTCGGGGTGCATTACCCTTCCCATGAATAGGATGGTACCTGTGGGGAGAGCGGGAAGGGAGGAGGGGATGGAGAGATGTCAGAACCAAAATTAAATGAGAGGCTTTGAGATAATGAACACCAATAATAAGCTCGAGAGCACGTGGTGCCTGATTTTCAGAGGAAGATACAGCAGAGAACTTGGTGGCCATGAAAGGCAATGGCTCAACAGCCCCTTTGAACACAGTAACCAACCCTGAGCACTTGGGGTTGCCTTGAGAAGGGTCACTATCACAGACCTTTCTTCCAAGAAGTTTTTACCCTTAGATTTCCAGATTAACAACAAGCTTTGAGGATTTAACTACAGTTGTTGGGCATTCCTCTTTCTACATGCAACAGCAATGTTAAGAACTGTCCCAAAGCAACCGGGTTCTGCTCTGTTCTGATTTCTCTTTTTGGGGAGATTTTTGCATATTGAGTAGGGAAAAAGGACAGATCTCCTCCTCCAGATACATTTTTTGCCTAATGTGTTTACAACAGCAAGGATACTCAATTTAGTTTGGTCAAAAAAACCCCTTAAGAGTTGGTATCCTGCCTCACTGGCCTCGTTTCAGTTGGGATGAAGGTAATTTTCTTCTTAGTATCTGGTCCAGTGCTGTATTTTGAATTTTGTACAAGAGAAAAGTCACACAAGGACTCTGCCCAGCTGGACTGGAAGCATTACTGCAATCTAAATAAACAAACAAATCTAAATAAACATTGCTACCTGTGGTGGGGATCACAAACACAGACCCACGTGACAGTCTGTGAGTGCACAGGAAGGTTTTACATCCAGTCACAGCCACATCATTAAGACAAATTACAAATACGAAACTGAGGAATTACTTAATCACTGCCCATTTAGTTGGTGAGGGTTGTTCTCATCCCTCACCTGCCACAGAGCACTTGGAGAGCACAACAGAATTATTCATGGCTGTAATAT